ACGTGTCCAGCTGTCCAGTGTTTCAGTAACTGGCGTTAGGATTACAAAAAGGTTCCTTGGAAATATTTCCCCCTGTAAAAGGTCCCTGGACCCAAGAGGTTTTTGAGAACAACTGTCCCAAAGTTATCAGAGGTTCCCCTTTGGGATGCACTTCGGTTTTCTGTGATCATTCTTTATTCCATTTATTTATCCCAGTCACCATGGATAAAGGAGAAACCATCCGAAGACAGAACAATCAATCAGCATTTCATGTTTTAATGGTGTGGCTAGTGATAACCTAATTGCATTGCGTTTTTTTTTTTATTATTTTGTTTCCCTCATAAACACGACGTGCAGCAAACATCACCTGTTTTTCTCCCATTACGCTTTAACCATTAAATGTCAATCGTGACGGAGTGCAGCTCTGAGTGCGTTTGTTTGTCCTGAATGCTAATGGGCTTCCAGTGGGCAGATCCATCCATTTAATTTCCAGCCTTTTTTTTTTTTTTTTTTTTTGTTGGTCCAGAGTCCAAATTAAGTCAACTGCATACATCAATAACATTGTCCAACATGGAGGAATGAAAGTTTTGGAAATACATTCCCAGAAAATCCCCTACAATGTGGGAATTGGCCCGATTTATTGTCGCCCATAAGTGGCTAGTGTCAATTAGCATTGTGAATAGTTAATTTGAGTTGCTCCAGTTGAGCTTTCAGCATGTTCAGTTATCAGAGATCCGAAACTCTGAACTGAAATGTGTCCTGAAGCAAAACGCTTTGCGCCTGCAGCTATGCCCACAGCAAATGTGGCGCTTTGAGCCGAATGCTAATGCTAATTGAATGGAAGCAGGCAGGCTTGATTGAAAAGGCTTGAAATATATACAATACCACAACAGCCTTCGGGGTTACACATTTTTTTAATATACAGTAATTTTTTGTTTGTTTTGTTTAGTTATGTTTTACTCACTACTAGCATCTTATCAGTTGAGATGTGCTTTAAAATTACAAGAGAATGAAATCAACTGAAAAGGTAACAAGAGAATGTAACATCCTGTGTTCAAATATACAGTAGCTAAGTAGAGAATGACAGTGTTTCGCAATGACCTGTTAGCATCCTACTGTTTCCCATATGGTATTATGCTAATTCGAACACATTTTACATTCAAATCCAGTTTGCAAGCAGTGGATCGGGGAGTCATACGGCGCACAGCCATAATCCAATTCATGATTTAAATGACCACCTAAATGCGACTCAACTTTTTAAAATACATGACTCTTATATTTGTGCCTGTCAGTTTTTGGTCTCATCAGCGAAGCAAACAACTCGAGCAATCAAGTCAGAAATGAGTTGGTCACAAAATGGCCGCCGTGGGAGCTGACTGCTGAATTATGAAATAAAATGGGACTAATTATAGATTTACAGCCGCTATGAGAGCGTATGCAGCAGATTGCGCGGATAACGCACAAAACCGCTATTAGCATATTGCACGTGCTAATCACAATTTTTAAAAAAGAAAGGGGAGTGGATATCAGATGGTCCACAGGGATATCGATTGGACGCCACTGGATTATGACGCCAATGCGTGCTAGCTCATCCGACGGGATTATGTAAATGAGCCAATTCAGGAGGAGGCGGGTGATTTTTTTTTCCATGCCAGTCGACTTCAAAGTGGCCAGCACTGCGCATTGAATTAGTGCTGCGCCTAATCCCGCTGAAAGTGGAGGGATGGGGGCGGCGGGGGGGGGGGTTATACCTTTATTAATATATGAAGGTACAGTGGGTAAGAAAGGTGACAAACTGAGCAAGTGGAAAGTTTTCAGCAGGAAAAATGGTGACTCACAACACAGTAGCCAACATGGAGAAGTGAATGTGTGTGTGTGTGTGTGTGTGCGTGTGTGTGTGTGTGTGCGTGCGTGCGTGCGTGTGTGTGTGTGTGTGCTAAAAAAATAAATCGGTGTGCAGGAGCAAGAACTGGAGGGAGACCAAGAACGAAAGGATCAAAGTGAATTTTTTTCTCCAAGAGTGCCACCATTGCAGTGAAGAGCAGGGAAGTTTTTCGTTCTTTCTGAGCTTCACATGTTCCCGTGCAAACGAATATTGCACGTACTGCAAATTCCACAAGGATCAAAGGTCAACAATACAGCTGAGATTTTACTACACCAGAGAAGGAGGATGTTTGGAATTTGAGTAAAGGATCAGGGAGGTTGGAAATGACTGTAAACTTACTTCATGTGTTCCTGTTCCTGTGCAAATAATAACTACACCTTATGCAAGAAAACCCAAGGATCATGAGCAGGGCTATGTAGACTTCATATCCACTCTACTTAGTGTTCCCTGTTCTAGGCTGTCCTCTTTGTGAACCTTAAGCAGCACTGTCACCAAAACAAAACAAAATAGGCAAGGACCTTTGGGGTATTTCACTTGAAACGTGACGGGAAAAAATTTAATTGCCATCAGGCACAAATGAATCTTATTAACTGATAACAGCAGAGCAAAATGACAAGCAGTGACTGACTGTGTGACATGAAATGACAGCCGACCTTTTTTTTCCTTCCTCTCTCTCACTGGGAGATATCATGTTAGTCACTAGTGCCACCACGTGGCCATCCTGAAAATTACAAAATAAAAAATACATACTTGTACAAGGAAGCGAGCAGACAGTTTTGCTTCTACCCTAGCCATCTGAATAAATTTGTTGTAAATGTTTATTTTACAGACAGGACATCTTAAAAGTGCTGACTCAACGTGTGGAGCTTTTCACAGTCATGATTCCGCGTTGGTTATTTCGCACGTTTGTCTGCAGCTGATCCGCACTAATCCGGATGCTTCTATCTCAAGCTTTGACGTTCATATTGCTCCACTTGCACCCTCGTCAGCGCCCGTCGCTTCTTATGCTGCTGCAAAAATTCAAAAGCGTTGGCTCTAAAAAGTCCACACACCCTTGTTCAAATGCTACTTTTTTCTTATTGTGATTTTTACAAATGTAACATTTACAGCTCAATTTAAAAGATCAATTACTCAGTTTTTGTACAGGAAAAAAAGAATAAAAATGAAAAGCGATGTTTCGTATCCACCAGTTGAGAATCACTCATTACGTCATCTTAAATCAGCCATTTTCAGTCCTTTGGATTTCAAACGAAACAGAGGCGTCCTTAAACTGTCTGTTTTTTTATTGATTTGTGTTGCACAGCACAGACAAATGAAGCACAGTGTTACAATATCGACTCAGAACATTTAGAAGAATATCATCAATAAAGCAGTGAGACTCCACTTAAGAGTACAGGCAAGAAAACGTCAAAAGGCAAACAGTGCTGCTGAACGGGGTCGTAAACAAAGCAAATGGTTGATATCACAGAACCGTCTCTTGGTGAAGCAGCTCGTGGCTCAAAGCTCGCGGTGACAGTACAACGTTCATTGTTTTTTCTTTTCTTTTTTTTTTTTTTTTTGCCCTTCTGCTCCATCGACTGACTGCTCATCGCTGCAGTTTTATTTTGCTTCCCACCTTCAGTTATCACGTAATATTTTCTAAGTGTAGCTAAGCTGTAAATGGAGCACTACTAAAGCCATAAGCGAATTAAAAAAAAAAACGTCAAACAAGCACATTGCAACTTGTCTACATCGAAGGAGTCCGAATTATTGCTTTGGCTGATGGCGAACATTAAAAGTGTCACATTCCGTGGATGGAAACAGAAACAATCCTGTGTGAGAAACATTCATGATAGAAAGTGTTGTTTTCATTGTGTAAATAAAGGCGAATGAGAAGCATTCTAATGCTATAAAGACACCACTTCAAACATATACATTCAAAATATTGGCAATGAGGTGATGGACTCATACAGAAATTTGACAGCTTGCAGTGTCGTCTTGTATGTACATGTCATTTATTTTTACTACCACAAAATGTCGGCAACTCTTTTTGTCTCAGTGAAACTCCTCCAGTCACTTCAAATTACCGGAGTTGCTTGGTAGCAGGATGCCACGAGAGGGGAGCAGAGCACTATTCTTGTTGAAATTACATGCTTCAATTTACTTCATCATAGAGTACTTCCTTGACACTAAGCTGCCACAAGATGGCGGCAAATCACTACCGTTGGCTAAATTAAATGCTTCGATTCACTGGACACCAAAGCAATACATGTAATTTTAGTGCGTTGGCTTATGCACAAAAATAGCGTAAACGTTGTTTTTTTCAGCAAATGACAGATGAACGAAAATGCCGGATTGTGAATATGCAGTTTAGGACAAGTCTCATGAAAACCGAGTCAAAGTCAAGATATTTCAAGAGTTTTAGCCAATCTGAGTCGATTTAGGTCATGTGACTCGAATGCACTACCTCTGGTAAGGAATGCCAAACAATCGTTAAAGTACAAGTGACACGACGATGGTGCGACAATCACAAGGGTGATATCTGACGCTGGTGGTGTGTGTGTGTGTGTGTGTGTGTGTGTGAATAGAGAGAGAGAGAGAGAGAGAGAGAGAGAGAGAGAGAGAGAGAGAGAGAGAGAGAGTCTCAAACACGTTAAGAGGGCAACACATTCAAGTTAGTAACTCTTGATAATGCATAACTGTGAACTAAAAGTCATTCCAAGTCATGAAGGATCATCCACATCAGAAAGCTGACTGAGAAAATACCAAGATGTGCAAAACTGTAATCTGGACAATAGGGGCCGTATTATGATAAAACATTCAGTTTTCATTTTTTTAAACATCCCATCAATACAGTATTTCTTCATAATGTCGATAATTGAAGTATTAATCATCAAATCAAGAATAAGCCACCGGCAGTGACGCATCCATGTCATTCGCCCGAGCATTTTTACAGACAGGCCTACCGGGACATCCGATGGTGGGGTGCGGTGGGTTGCAGTCGGAAGGGGGGAAGTGTAGCTGCGCCTAGAGGTTGACGAAGTGGAGGTCGGAGGCAGAGAAGCGGGGGCACAGCGCCGCATCGGGGTCCCGCAGCTGCCTCACGACTCGCCGGTGGAACTTGGCGCGCACGCGGTTGAACTCCATGATGTCGCTGGGGTCCTCTTCAATCCAGAAGCGATGGAACTCCTGCATCAGGTAACCTGACAAACACGCACGCGTATGTCAATAAAAACGAACGTGGCAACAGTCGAGTGTTCCGAGTGAAGTTGACTGACAGAAGGTCTGCTGGAGATGCAGCAGGGTGGCCATTTCGGGGGCCACGTTGTACAGGTGTGTCTTCAGGGCACCGCTCACCAGCAGCGAGTAGGCCAGGTCTGTGATGTTGATGCCCACGATGGCAAAGGAATAGCTGCAGGGCGGGAAGGAGGTCATCGAGTTTGTCAAAAAAGTTCGGGTAAGATTTTTGCGGGGACTGCGGCGAGCCTTACCCGATGGCTTTGTCAACATTTGTGGGTTCACATTCTGATGCGTTTGCCTCGCTGTGACACACACACGCACACACACCAATCAAGGGTTACAGCCTAGGTGTTCATGTTTCACTTGCAACCGGTTCACGAAGTAAGATCATTATGTATGGGATTACTGGATATGAGGATAAAGTTTTTTCTTGTACTGTATCTGATTAAATTGTATTTCGAATGAAGTGGCAATAAGGCATATATAAAAAAAAAAAAAGATGAATAACAAATACTTTTTAAAAACTGCTTTAAAACAGGGTTAGGGCAACTTGCAGCACATGGCCCATCATGCAGCCACCGGATGTTGCCATACACCAATTTAGTATGAAAAAGCTCCTTTTTGGAAAGCGTTTTCCCAGCCCTGTTTCAAATAGACTCGACTGCATGGAGTAGTAACAATGGCACAGAGCATGTGGCCAATAAAGCGGGTGAGTGAGGGTGAAAATGGGAGTACCTGCGACTCCCTTGCGCACTCCTGCGGCGGGCGTGGGAGCGACACAGAGGAGGCAAGCGTGTGTCGAAACAGACAGAAGAAGCTCACTGAGATGCTGATGGCAAAGCAATACAAGGCAGCGATGCAATCAACACAAGACGGGGAGGTGGTGAGTGACCGGGTCGAGCTGTGAACAATGGTGAAGAGAGCACGCTATATGGACAAAAATACACCGACACACCTTTTTAGCTAACAGTTGATCTGAATTCTTCATCACAACAAGCTTTTGCGATTTGTGAGAGCTTCCAGGAGTTTCCCCGGGAATTGTTTTGAGTCCTTTCATTATTTTATTAAATCTCCCCAGCACACGTCAAAATTCTCAAAGATCTCGCATCGGAGTAAGCAACGTCAGTTACTTCTGCGGATCTATCCTGAGTGCCAAGGAGTCAGACACAATTTGGAGCGGTGTTCCTCTGGGAAGTGTTTCATGTTCCATCCTTTTCACACAAAAGACAAACCCTTCTTATCCTTGTTGCAAACCCTCAAGTAACAATCAGTGTGACGAAGTTTGGAGAGGAGATCCTCAGGGAAGTGTTTTAGGTCCCGTCATTTTTCAAAGAAACCTGAACGTGTCACATGCTTTTGTCCATATGTCATGAAACAGCGTGTGTGTATTTTTTTGAGCAGAATGATGCACAGATGACGGTCACTTGTGTTATAGTTGAAATAACATGGATGCAACAAATCGTGCTTGAGAGTCAACAGGAAGTCCTCTAATCATACTTGTGCTTGGGCAGCAGGGAATCATGGAGCATCTGCAGAGCTGCAGCCTTGTCGTGTTCAGCAAAGTACCTTTAGATAAAAGTGAAATTGGCTTCGCATCTTCACTTAGCACTCTGTACATAACCAGTGTGCAAGGAGTTGATCTTACAGCAGATTGTAGAGACCCAGCAGGCCCATTCCTCGGAAGTCCGTCTTGGGATCGCTGCCTTGGAATCCAATCTCACACCACTGCTTGGAAATACGTCCGGTCAGCGGGGTGTCGGGACGCAGCTCCTCCCACAACTGCGGCAAAAATCAACAGGAGTGAATTCGTCAAAAGAACCCAGGCGGCAAGTGTATTAGATGGGATTTCATAGATGGACACCTTCATCAGCATGTCCTCGTGTTGTGCGTTGTCACAGTCGTAAGGCTCCCGCCGGAGCTTCTCCACCTCGGCCACTAAGTTCCTGTAGCCTACAATTTGTAACAGGCTGGCCTGAAGGGAGATGCCCAACCTCGGGGTAACATGAGGAAAGGAGGCCATGGGTCAATCTTCGCTTTCAGCTTGGCGAGCAATTTCCTTCAAGTGGCAGAGATGTGTCGTGTGGTCTTACTGAGGATTGGTATCAGGGTTGATCTTCTTCAGAGCCATGATGTCGTCAATGATTTTCTCTACTTTGTCAGGATGAGCGCTAAGGGCAGACTGCAGCAGCTGCAAAGAAAATACGGTAGGATGTACATTTTCCCAAAACTATTTGAATCATGTCATTAATCGTTACACTTGGACATTTACTTCATTTTTGGAGTACTTCAAAGATGACTCTGGAAGAAAAATATTGAAAAATTAGAAATCACTAGAGACAATGGAGGTGCAACAACTAATCAATCAATCCACCACAAATTGATGATCAAATTAATTGACAACTATTTGGATGATCGGTCATTCATTTCCAGACCTTGTTCAAATTAAATATTGTCAAAAGGCTCTTACCGATCTTGAGCGTCCTGCGGGCACCGTGTTTGTTGTTGTAGCAAATCCGCTGTAGCTCGCAGCGTCCCGTAAACTTACGTGCCACAAACTTGAGCCCTCGCCACAGACATTTGCAGTAGAGGAACACAAAGAACTGGGTCAACATCCTGCAGGGGGGAGAAGACAAAGAACAAGTGGAAATTGTTCCGTGTTCACACCCATTTTGTCATAGTAAATCATGGACATTGTCCTGAGGAATTAATATTTTTGGTGTGAATCAACCCTCCATTATTTGCTGAATTAATTGTATTGCATTTCTTGAGTACCAGTCAGACATAGTTTGGAGTGGCGTTCCTCAGGGAAGCGTTTTCAGCACTGTCATTTTTTTTTGGGTGATCTATGGATGGATGAAAGGACAACTTTATGTCCCAAAACATTTGCCCATATGTCGCAAAGGAGCAAGTGCTTGTTAATGGTCAGTGAGCTGAAATCTCAAGTGTTGTTTGGCATTTTGTTTTCTTACATTTTGTCTGAAACTCTCCGACATTTCTAAAAAAATTATTGCGCAATTAACAGAAATGAAGAGAAAGGTGGATCATAAAGGAGCATATGAGACTAGCTCCTCATAAAATGCTATTTTTGTCAGTGACAGAAACTTAGAATGGAGACATGTGCCTCATGGGAAACACATGCTGACCCATTAAGGACTATGTGGGACATTAGCTGCTTTACTTTGGCAAAAGTGTCAGAGTGGCAAATCCATCCAGAATGGATTTTGTTTTGACCGTTTGGGACATAGAGAGAAAATGAAGGCCCGATAAACTGCATTGTCCACAACCTCTGCGCGATCATTAACGTCACCATGGTATATGCAGCAAGAGCAGCGAAGGGGCTATAAATAGAAGAGACGACCAAGCGTTTGTTTATATACTGCATATAGCAGATTCTTTCTTACTTTGTCTCAACAGCATGACAAATGAATTCCATCAGCACACAACATGCAGGCTCGTCTTACCTCAGGAAGTGCTTCATGATGCCTGGTGTCTTCTTCAATGGACCTGCTGCTGGGGGATGACCTGCAAAGAGGAAATGACAGTGAACCAGATGTAATGCATGAAACACTACAACCAAACAAAAGTTAATGATTGTGTATGATGAACATTTGGGCTGAACTTATTGAAATTATATTATATGAATAAAATAGATTTTTTTTCCTACACTTTCAATTGTTTTAAGGATAAAGTTGTATTCAATGTATTGTATGGAGAGAAACCCTTTTTTTTTTTTTCAAGAAAAATAGATCTTCCAAAAGTGAAGTTGCATGCACGAAGCAGAAATTTCTACTTTGAAGAATTAAAAATGCTACACTTTTGGGAGAAAGTAAGATTTGAAAAATATATTTTATATATTTTCTTTATCCTTATGATTGTACTTTTTTTGTCAGAAAACGTTTTACTTTGAAAATATATATTTCTTTCCTCAAGTATCTTTTTAATAACATAAACTTCTCAACTAAAATAAAAAATTTCGACATAGTTTTTCCTTTTCAGTCTGGGTCCAGTACTCCTCCATACTAGTGGTTCGCATCCGGGCCGCGAGCCCCAGGTTGTCCCCCACCGCTCCAGGCCTGCATCTGAGGAACTGTCCACGGTGCGAAGCCATGAACGCGCAAGCCATCTCATATGCCACCTTTCCAACCAAATTCCACCTTTGTAACGCGCCACCGTTTCAAAAACGTGACACAATCAAACTGTGGTTGAAAAAAATAAAAGAAAATCATTTGCTTTGTCGGTAATAATCTACTGGACGATTAGAAAAAGCAACGCGCCACATTTGCATAATCCGCAACCGCATGTGCAGCAGTGCCCTCCGCCTTGCAAAGTCGGCACGTCACAAAATGCGTCTTAAAAAGCAGATTTTACCGTTTTTAATCTTTCAAAGGCAGTAAAAGCAGGCGACGTGCGGCTTCGTGTCTCTCCCCCCGTCAATCGGCTCCAGACGTCCGCTTTTCCTCCATGATGATGCCGCTGTGTGTGAGGACGCCTGACCGAAAGGGGGCGCCAAAGTGCAGGGGAGCAGATGACGTCACTCGGTTGGAGGAGAGCTGGTCTCTGATTAAACTGCAAACCCAAAATAAAAAATACACTCTGCACACAGAAATCTGTTTCTAGTGCTTGAGAGGGTCAAAATATTACAAGCAGCAGAAAATACAATAACAAAACACATTAAGATCTCTGAAATTATGCCTTTTATCAATTTTCCGACATTAAAAATGATTGACACGAATGCAAATAAAATGACACAAATGGTAAAAAAACTGTGTGGAAAAGTCACGTTTTTAAATTTAGAAAAAAGCACTTGAGATGAGCCTACTTTGAAAGGGGAATATTAAAAAGAAAAAGATGGCACAGTGATGATGAACTGCAGAATTGCAACAAAACAGAAAATAGAAAATTCAAGAACTATAAAATATCTAGCAGCAGAAAAGAACTGTTCTGGATCATAAATAGTTGTTGAAGCGTGTCCCAACAAGTAACAAGCACCATGTTAGTAGCACTAACATCAAAACGAATGATCAGTAACTTTTCCGAAATGAACGTAAACAACTGATTGTTCTTGTTTTTGTAACAGTATGACAGAAGACAACATTTGAGATGCCTTTCTTAGAACAGAAAGACTTTCTTCCTCCTCTTCTGGGGTCAGAGCGCAGAGACCACCGTCAGGTGACTTTGACCGTTTCTATCAGCTGGCAGCAGGCGGTCCGAGGCGCTCCGGGCCTCCTGGTCCGAAGAGTCGCTGGAGTCGGGCACGGGCTGGGCAGAGTATGTGGGCACGGCGTTGAAAGTGACGAAGCCCATCATGATGAGGACGAACGCCATCATGTACAGTGGTGAGAACTGCAAACGAAAATGATGCATCGTTGAAAAATAAGGAGGGGGCAATTTAGGTGCTTTGCTGCCATCTTGTGGCATCTACACACAATTACAAAGCCCTGAATTCATCTGTTGGGAGTTAGGATAGGTTCCAGTTCAGTCAGTGCAAACAAAAATGGACAAAGAAATAGACATTTGCTAAGCCGACCGTGTAGTGGAAGAGGAAGAGGCCACAGAATAGGCTGAAGAGGTCAGCAGTGAGCAGCGACAGGTTGACGGCGGTGGCGCTTGTCCTCTTCACCACCACCGGCATGAAGCTGTACAGTGCAAACATGCACAGCATGTAGAGGATAAACAGCATGGCTGCGCCACACAAAAATAACAACGGAGATGGGTTAGAGGAGCTCTGTTCAAACTTTATACACCGAGTTAAAAAAAAAAAATTTTATATATATAATTTTTTTTTTTTTTTAAATACACTTTAGACGGTGAGCTAACTCACCAATGTGAAATGTCCACTTGATTTTCTTGAGTGCGCTAACTTCCAGTGCGGCTCTGCGAAGGAGAACAGATTCAAAATGAGGAAATAATTTCATTATGCTGTGTAAAATAATTTCTCAAATATTCTTTTGGTATTTTTCTTTGTGGGATAAAATTCGGTTTCTTTTTTAGTCTTCCTGCTCAATCAAAAAATGTATGACTTTGGCCCCACCAAGTGTACCCGTAATCTTTGTGTTGTTAGATTTATTTCATCGACAGTGTACTCTTTCAATTTGTGTTTGAGATGTCCAAAGTGAAGCTGAAAGTTGAAAAATTGCTTCTACAAACACACACTATGCCGGGAAATTAAAAAAAGAACAAGAAAAAAGCCAAAGCGAGTATTTGGGGGTGGAAAATTTAGGTTTTGGGTTGGAAAGCTCACAGTTGAATCCCACTGATGATCGTCCCGAAGAATCCCATCATTCCCAAGAACTCCACTCGGCTGCGGTTCTTCACGGTGAACTCCTGGCACATGTTGGACACGGCGTAGAGAATGGCGCTAATCAGCACCAAGCTGTCGCCCAACATCACATCGCTGGCTGTGGAGTCAATCCATTACGAGAGGGTGGCGGTTGAATCTGGAGAGGATAGAAAGAAGGCGGCATCCTTACTGGATCCTGGGTCTCTTCCGGCCAGGATGTCGGCGCCCACCATGGCGCCCACGCCAAGCAGGCAAACAGTCACAGCAATGTAGTGTAGCGGCCTGTAGCGAGTCTTCAGCAGGAACCAGGACATGAGCATCAGTGCCGGTACCACGAAGCAGTCCAGCAGCTGCAAAACACACGGTGGTACTGATATGATATACTGTGATAGGACATGAAGCAACACGTTTATTATAAAAGTATTGCGTTTCTTTGAATAATGGCCGGAGGCTTGCGTTTACTCAGTTTCACAGAGTAACCAGTGGAAGGGAAGACTACCAGGTATTTACTCGAGGTGGGGCAGTGGAGGCCTTTATTTTTAAAAATACATCTTCACAATCGTAAATATAATCATAATAAAAAAAGGCGACTAAAATAAAGTGGCTATGACACATCCACACACCACCGTTCAAATGCAAGGTTTTCAGAAGTCAAATCATGAACCTGACTTAACTTTTAACCTGTACAACTGAACTGAAAATAAAATAACATCTTGGAGGGGAACTAAGACTAAACAAGTGAGATAACATTGTGGCACAGTGATTCACACCCTTTCGTGACTCGGTGTGTGGTTGTCTGATCGAATAAAACAATGGTGTACTTTCTGTTGTCTCACCTGGATGCTAGTCAGCGTGGTGTAGCGGTAGGCCATGACGACCGTGTAGTTGGCCTCCACATCAGCCAGACCCATCAGCAGGTACTTCCACCATTTGGTCTTCAGCACCTGCAGGAAATTTTGATCCCCTGCAGACGCACATAAGAGGCATACTGTGGCGCTAGTTTTATGACAGGCCAAACAAATTGAAAAGTCTAATCTGAACTGTAGCTATACCCGTGTGGGTGCAGAGTATTGTGGAGTAGGCAAGCAGCAGCAGGGCGTAGTTAAGGAAGCTCTGCAACATGGGCGTCTCCACACCGGCGTCAGCCAGGTACTGGCAGCTGACCGCCGTGCCGCAGATCATAACGGACAAGACTTGACCCATGACCAGGGTTTTCAGCAGATCCCTGGAAAGGGGAGAGCACGAGAGGATCAATACCCACTACCTCGGATGACGATCCAACAAAAACAAGTCCGCATTCCAAGCACTCACCACGTGAAGACATCCCTCAGCTTGTAATTGTACAAACCGCACGCCAGCCTCAGTTTCCCACACATCTTCTCGTCCGCTTGGGCCTCCATCGCTTGTCAGCACTATAAGATTAGAAAAGAAACAAGAAAAGGAATTAGTGTCCTGGCTAATTTATGAAGGAGCGCATGGTATAAGTCACACTGGAATATCTCGTGTTTCCAATTACCGGTATTGTCCAAGGTTGCCTTGCTAGATAGTGTAAAAATGACTCTACTAATGGAACCAAAACTTGCTATTTTGTTTTGTTTTCCTTCCACGTGCTTGCGTGGGTACTTATCTTTTATTGACACAAATATTCCCGTAGCTCAAGTACAGCAACACACATGCAAAAAGTTAAAATAAATAAGGTTTTGTGCCTAACCCAGGTTATCTATATCTATCTATATATCTCTGTGTATATATAGCTATATATTTTCCCCTCCGCAGACATCGTGGTTTACCTCACCAAAATGACCGCTATAAAATGATAGTTTTACATTAAAATTAACGTGTTTTGGGGGTATAAATTAAAAAGTAGAATGATTCACTGATAAGTTTCAATGACATCCAAAACATGGCAGACATGAACGAAGCTTACCTCGGACTAATCAGCAGACTTCGCTCTGACACTCTTAAGTATGAAACGCCAAAGTTTCACTGCAGTCCATTAACTCGCACGATAATATTCAGCCCGGTAATATTAGAAGAAGCCGGTCCACATTACTGCCTCCTCCGGCAAGCGTGTCGGTTCCAAGCCTATCACGCTGCCGCACCGGAAGGGGCCGCGTTCCCTCGTCTTTCTCCTCCTACTTCTCCCATGGGAGCGAAAATGACAGCTGGCGATTATCGTGTTCACTGCCGGAATACTTTCTACTTTAACATTATTTGACTCTTTATCACCGCTGCGCAGTGTAATATAAAGGGTCGACAGTTTATTGGAGTCGCCTGTCTCGCATCTGCTTTTTTAAAATGGGTGACGCGTGGAAATTACGTCATTTTAACCTCGACCATTCAGACCACATTGGTCTTTTACGTCAAATTTCAGCGTCTCATTCACGATATACCTGCCAAACTCGTACAAAAATAAAGGATAAATAAATAAATACAAAGAATAATATATTTGGTAAATTGATAAGAAAAACAATTTAATGCGCGTCGGTCAAAATACGCCATTAAATATATACAATATTTTAGGAGGAATCCTCCTTTAATCTAGTTAATTGTTCCTTGTGAACGTAGCTTTTCAGACTACTACAGTAATTAGCAAGGTTCTCTTTTGAGAGGGAGTTGATTTGATCAGCCCATTGTCACGATTTGCATAAGTAAATAACTTCCAAGGTTTACTGTCATCAGGTGTGTGGGAGATAAGATGTGACACAAATGCAATGAGTACATCAATATGACATTAAAGAGTGCCACTGAATAGATAAATTGTCCTGCAGTTACATTATATTTGGAGAGGACTATAATACATTTAGAAAAGGCATAGTTATAGCAGAACTATTCTTCATGATAAAACTGCATCACAAGCCTTTCAAATAGGACTCCTGGCTGCCACAAAATACGACCTACATATAGCAAGAATAATCCTCCTCTTCGTTTCCTCTGTAAACTACTCTTATCCTGAACTGAAGGATAAATTCTTTGCACTGGCTTACGTGGGAAAACACCGGACCAAGGTTGTCACACAGCGAAAGAATGATAACACTCACCTAAACTACTATATTCTTGGTCTGGCAGTTGGATGCAAGACCGCAGGCCAGCGCCAGTTTGAGGAGCGACGCTGTCCATGACAAGTTTCTCGAAAGAGGATCTTTTCTGCGGATGCAGTGCAGTGCAGTGAGGTTCAAATTAAATAGAAAACGGAACTGTATTGTAACTTTGCGACACGGTGTATTATATTATCATTCACCCATCTATTCATTTTCTCGAGATCTTATCCTCATTACGGTTGTTGCTGGATTATTGTTGAAAAAAACATTCATTTTTTTCTACGCAATTTGATTACAAATAATTGTTTTTGTTAATTAAAATGCATATGTGGCTTTCCTCATTATTATTATTCATTACAATGCTGTATTTATGATAGACTCTTGAAATGAGATACGATATGACGACCAGCCGCCGAGCTGTCGCGAGATTCGGCGAGACTATAAGTTAAGGGAACATGGCGACGTCTAATTTGCTAAAGGTAGGAGCTCACTCCAATTTAATTATTTCTCACGTATGGGCCGCCGAAGTGCTTGTCACCCTTGAGCCGTCCCGTCGCCGTGAGTGTTTCCCGCTCCCGGAAGACCCCAGTCTGCAGACCACCGCAAGCGTTGTGCTCTTTGACGCCGGCGCGGGGAGAATTTTAACTTGACTAGCATTAGCTCCCTGCCAGAGATTTAGCTCAATGGCAAAGCTACAGCATTAGCTTTCTTAAATGAGGGCAGTGGGGACAGCGGAAACATGCGAAGGGTGGAAGCAAGGTAGGAAGGCCTGGCTGTGAGAGGTCCGCGTCATCCGGGAGGACGTGTTTTTGTCCGCGCGACCCCACGCAGGAGCCGCGATATCATCTGTCAAATCAGTCAGGCACACACAGGAATCTGCAGCTGACTGGCTGGCCCCTTTCAAACCCACGCTCAGGGCTGCCAAAAGGCAACTGGCTGGGGTATTTTCTGCACACTGAGCCTCCAGTAAACCCACCCGCTGGCGTCAAACGCAGCCTAACAATCACCTATTTGGCTTATTAGGTGCTTATCGACAGGATGCATAGGTACTCCTTATTTTGCATGATGGAGAGTTGCAGAGTACTTACGGGACAAACATGCGTGTATGCTTTTCTTAAGAATCTCCACTAGAAATGATATAATTGATGTAGGCTTGCCACAGCCTTGAAACCAGGCGTTCTCAAATTTACATTGCAACTATTTGTGCCCTGTGATGTGTGTGTCCCGCTTCTCGCCTGAAACTCGGCTAGGATAGGCTCCGGGTCCAAATGAATGACGGCCACTCCTATCATAAACAGATGGATGGAACTGATGTTGATATATTTGTGTTGGGTTTGTTGAGTGACAGTCAGTCGGACAGAGGTTGCAGTGGAGTTCCTCAGAGAATTGTTTTAGGTCCTGTCATTTTTTTTCTGTATGATCAGTGTTTTGCATAAAGCAAGAGTGGTTAGTGTGTCTGCCTCACAGTCCTGTTGTTAGGTGGACAAGTTTTAGCTATGGACTTCCTGTGTGACCTTTGGCACATTCTCTCCATTTTTCATGAATAACTCTCAATCATCCATGAGTGAGAATGCTTCTTTGTCTACATGCTCCCTTCAATTGGTGGTAAAGGACCCACAGTTCCATATTTACTATATTATCACGAATGTAACTGATGTTCTTCTTGTCTTTTCTTCCCTCGCAGAACAAAGGATCCCTTCAGTTCGAGGATAAATGGGACCTGATGCGTCCCATCGTACTAAAGCTGTTAAGGCAAGAGTCGGTCACCAAGCAGCAGTGGTTCGACCTTTTCTCGTGAGTTTGGCCTGTTAAAAAAAAGTTAATACCTCAGGGAAGCTTTAGGTGACGTCTTAATCCTTCCGCAGAGACGTCCACGCTGTCTGCCTGTGGGATGACAAAGGTCCCGCCAAGATCCACCAAGCCCTTAAAGAGGACATCCTAGAGTTCATCAAACAAGCACAAGCAGTAAGGCTGAAACTACAATGGGGGATTTATCACTTTACATCTTCACACTTGTAATATACAAGCCAAATTTATTTTTATTACCATATTTTCACGACCATACGGCGGACTGTATTAAAAGACGTAGTGTCAGTTATGTATGCCATTACTGTGTTTAACATTCACAAGACACATTGTATTATTTGACGTAGGCATGGTAAAACGCACGCCGGCTTAAACAATATGGTAGCATGCATGCACGCTAGCTTATGTTTTCAAAAAGGCAGTGGCAGCAAAACAGTTGTACTTAGAAGTATTTAACAATGGCGCCTATTTTTAAGGAAAACGAATCCAATGTTTGCCGCTGTTTTCTCAAAGCGGGTGCTGAGTCACCAGGATGACACGGCCCTGCTGAAGGCCTACATCGTAGAGTGGCGCAAGTTCTTCACGCAATGCGACATTTTGCCCAAGCCATTCTGCCAGTTGGAGATCACACTGATGGGCAAGCAGGGCAGCAACAAGAAGTCCAACATGGAGGACAGCATCGTCCGGAAGGTGATTGGCCGACTGTCAGTCGAAAGATTGACGCAGGGTATTTTAATGACTGCCGCTTGTATTGACCTTCCCCCCGCAGCTGATGTTGGACACGTGGAACGAGTCTATCTTCTCCAACATTAAGAACAGGTTACAAGACAGCGCAATGAAGCTGGTCCATGCCGAGCGGCTGGGGGAAGCCTTCGATTCGCAGTTGGTCATCGGAGTGCGAGAGTCCTACGGTGAGCAGCCATCTACTGCAGTGGAGCCATGTAGCAACCCGAGACTAGTAGCAAACACCAAGTGATATCACACATTGCTAAATAGTGTAATTTCCTCATGCAATATGTTTCTCTCTTCGTTCCCGCAGTGAACTTGTGCTCAAACCCCGAGGACAAGCTGCAGATCTACAGGGATAACTTTGAAAAAGCCTACATGGATTCCACTGAGCGCTTCTACAGAACGCAGGCGCCCGCCTACCTCCAACAAAACGGCGTCCAGAACTACATGAAATATGTGAGCTCAAGTCATGATTGCATCGATAGCATTTAATCAATACACAGAAATAAAGTTCTAACATGAATACTGTATGTGCTCTATTAGGCTGATTCCAAGCTGAGGGAAGAGGAGAAACGTGCACTACGATATCTGGAGACAAGGCGTGACTGCAACTCTGTACAAGCAGTGAGTGTGAAAGCCTAATGCACAAACAAGTACACTTTTTCGAGTTGATATTTTCTGTTTAAAGTATGTAACAATTATTCCATTACAAAAAAGTTTGAAGCAAAGTCATTGCCTCAAAGCTTTGCAGGGATAATTTTTTTCCACATGGACTAATGTTACGACAGTCACTCCACATTTAGAAAGAAGTTGCTGCTTCTTCGTATTTTATGGAAAACTGATTCTGTTCTGCTTCCCAGTTAATGGAGTGTTGCGTCAACGCTCTGGTAACGTCCTTCAAGGAGACCATCTTAGCCGAGTGTCCGGGCATGATCAAGAGGAATGAAACAGAAAGTGAGTACTGCCTTCACTTTGGAGCCCGGAATCAGCCATGACCAAAACCTTTGCACATATAGCATCCGTTTTCTGTTTTTGCCTCTTTCCAATGCAAAAGAGCTGCACCTGATGTTCTCGCTGATGGACAAAGTGCCGAGCGGCATCGAGCCCATGCTTAAGGACCTGGAGGAACACATCATGAGCGCCGGCCTTGCAGACATGGTGGCCTCCGCCGAGACCATCACCTCTGTGAGTGCCGCAAAGGACGTTCTTCTATGCTTTCTTTTTTCCTCTCCTAGGATTATTTTCAAAATGTAAAGAAAAAAAAATGCCTGCAGGGAAACCTTCCACACAGGCATCAGGAGCCCCAGTGGGAACCCATAACAGAAATTAAAAGAACTTTTTGGAGCCATCGATTTTTCTACCTGTCATTGTGGTCGTTCCTTTCAAGACGTATATTTCCTTTTTTCGTCGCAGGACTCTGAGAAGTATGTGGAGCAACTGCTCACGTTGTTCAACCGCTTCAGTCGGCTGGTGAAAGAAGCCTTCCAGGACGACCCTCGTTTCCTCACCGCCAGAGATAAAGTGAGTTCCGCTTTGGCTAGTGAATCTTTTTCGCCGCACCGGCCGGCATGTCAGCGTTTCCGGTGGCACGGTTTTCGGTTTTCTCAGTGTCTGCGGTGCCGTGCAGTGGAAAGGCGACAAATGAATTTGTTTGTTCTCAATTTCTCCTCACGTCTCTTTGCAGGCCTATAAAGCCGTCGTCAACGATGCCACTATATTTAAATTAGAACTTCCCATGAAACAGAAAGGGTAAGACATTGTGAGATTTTTTTTTTCCCCTCCCACGAATAACAAACAATACTAGATCATGTGACCGTACTTTATTTACAGTGTGGGCTTGAAAACACAACCTGAGTCGAAGTGTCCAGAGCTGCTGGCCAACTACTGCGACATGCTGCTCAGGAAGACTCCACTCAGCAAGAAGCTCACGTCGGAAGAGATTGAGGCCAAACTCAAGGAAGTGGTGTGTGTTTTAGTTTTTTTTTTTTTTTGCTTGTCTGTAGGCGCACATAAATGTGTCCCATGTTGCAAATGACACATGCCAAACTGTGGCCCAATTAGTCTCTGAGTTCTGGAAAAGGAATATCACAACACAATTGGCAGTTATGAAGTGCATTCGGTGGGATGCATTTGTATTAAGTTTGTAAAGGCAAATCATATTCATACAGCTCTTGGATTGGAGCTCATATAGCACACGTACCTAATGAAGTGCCCGCCCTGACTATATATTCCCTTCATGTCTCGCTTCTCTTCTATGTGTTGTTTTGCAGTTGTTGGTTCTGAAGTACGTCCAGAACAAAGACGTGTTCATGCGCTACCACAAGGCCCACCTGACCCGCCGCCTCATCCTGGACATCTCGGCAGACAGCGAAATTGAGGAGAACATGGTCGAGTGGCTCAGGGTAAGATCAACTGCAAAAAGTCGCCGCAAATATTCTCAAATCTTCTATCCGTCGCCAACGTTTTTCTGTCACGTCCTTGATCCAAACAGGAAGTGGGAATGCCGGCGGACTACGTCAACAAGCTGGCCAGGATGTTTCAGGACATTAAAGTGTCTGAGGACCTCAATCAGTCTTTCAAAGAAATGCATAAACACAACAAGCTGGCTCTACCAGGTAAAAGACAAGAGAGTGAAGCTCAGTTTGTCGCAGGGGATCTGCAGTCATCCTAGTAACTTGAAAGCCTCAATGTTCCTTTAGCTGACTCGGTCAACATCAAGATCCTGAATGCTGGCGCTTGGTCACGGAGCAGCGAGAAAGTGTTTGTCTCGCTGCCCACGGAGCTGGAGGACTTGATCCCGGAGGTGGAAGACTTCTACAAGAAGAACCACAGCGGACGCAAATTACATTGGCATCACCTCATGTCCAACGGCATTGTGGGTGTCACCTGCGCACAGATCTCATTTGACTGTGTGGCTGTACATAAAGTGTCTGACACTTAAACTATGACTTGACTTGTGTTTTTTTTTTTCTTTCCTCCCCTCTGCCACAGATCACCTTCAAGAACGAAGTGGGCCAGTTTGACCTGGAGGTGACGACCTTCCAGCTAGCTGTGCTCTTTGCCTGGAACCAGAGACCCCGGGAGAGGATCAGCTTCGAGAACCTCAAACTCGCCACCGAGTTGCCCGACGCAGAGCTGCGACGCACACTCTGGGTAGAAAAAACACAAAGGGGACCCCCCCCCCCAAAAAAAAAGACGCCGTTTGAAATTGAAAACATTCCATGTTGAGACACTGGTTGACTTCCAAGTAGTTTTCATTCCATTACAGTTTTTCCCCATAGGATTTAATGCACGTTGAACTAACAAATCAGAGAAGTTAACAGCGGTGTCATAAAACTAAAATAAAGTAAAATGACTGACCGTCATTTCAGTTGCCCCATTGACAACGCTGACTGATGGACAGTAAAAAAGAAGCTCCTCTTTCCGTTAGCGTTTCAGCTACGTGCTAGTGAGCATCTACTTGTTCAAATAAATGAGGCTCTCGAAATGGTATAGAAAATGGATGGATGGATTTGTCGGGTGAACTTCACGTCTCGTTATTCTCCAGAATTCTCACCCATCTTACCTCTCTCCTCCTTTGATCCAGTCCCTGGTGGCGTTTCCCAAGCTCAAGCGGCAGGTGCTGTCCTATGACCCCGCGGTGTCGTCGCCCAAAGACTTTGCCGAAGGAACGTTATTCTATGTCAATCAAGAGTTTTCTCTTATGTAAGCAAATGTCTTTAGTCACTGCATTTTTTCAAGTAGTGGTCCCTCCTCCGATGCACACCGTCCCGCAGTTATTCGCCCGGTGCGTCCTCCTCCTCCTTTTCCCATCGGGGGAGTGCTGATGTATATTCTAGATCGGAAAATAATTCCCAAATATGAAAATAAATGATCAAACTAACTGTCAGAAGAACCTGCAGGTGGACGTGGATTTAATTATTGGTTATGTTTGCATACGTATACTTCCAGAAAAAATTCAAAAGTTCAGAAACGGGGAAAGATCAACCTGATCGGCCGACTGCAGCTCACCACAGAGAGAATGCGAGAAGAGGAGAACGAGGGCATCGTCCAGCTCAGGATACTCCGAACACAGGTACGCCACCACCATGATCATGCAAAGAGAACTTCCTACTGGGCACCATCTTGATGCCGTCCACTTTTTTTTGTCATACAGGAGGCCATCATCCAGATCATGAAAATGAGGAAACGCATCAACAATGCCCAGCTACAAACAGAGCTGGTAGAGATCTTAAAGAACATGTTTTTACCACAGAAGAAGATGATCAAGGAGCAGATTGAGTGGCTAATCGACCACAAATACATCAAGCGGGACGAGGCCGACATAAACACCTTCATCTACATGGCATAGCACAACGGTTTGGACTTTTGGCTTTTTTTTTTGCCCCTTCTCAATCGGGCCTGATGGACGCTCGAAGAATACTTCCAGGCCCCCTTGACCCCAGCCACATCATCAGCCCTCACCGCGGCCCCGTCCTCTATTTAAAATGAAATCCTGTGCAGGGAGGCATGAATCAACTGACTATTTAAAAACACTTCCTGCCTTAAACTTGTATAAAGAAGAAAAGCAAAGTCTGCACCTAGTGGTTGTAACTGTTTTTATTTGGAAGGCTGTATTTCATGCTTTGTTTTACTCCTTTCGGAATGCTACTACGGTGTGCTGGCTTGCTCGCTCCCACCCGACGCTTGTGGAATTCTATGACAAGGAAAGCAGCTCAAGCAGGAAACACATCTGGGGCGATAAACACCATGCTCCACTTTTTGTGTGTTTTCCAGTGCGAGCGAAGCTTCCACAGCGCTTCGAATACAACTCGTCGCTTCAAGGCACTGTGGGGGTTTGGAGTTTGTTTGTGTTGTTGTTGTGAGAGTAAGTATCACTTAATCAGGACTTCTTTTTTTTTTTTTTTCGTACAGTGCCAGATCGACACATCAGCCTCTTTTACCCCCCAGGATTCAAATCTCTGTTTTCTGAAGGGTGATAAAGAAAGCTGTAGGACGGACGTTTTGGATTTCGAAATGTCCTAAGGGTCAAAGAAGGTCAGTGTCGGAGGTTCAAAGCGGGTGAGGAGAAGCCCAAGTCAGTATTAAGTTTCAAAAGCTTTTCAGCGGTGTGTACCGTGAGATGTGAATAAATAAAATAAACAGCACCTTAACATGAAAGTGTTTGCTGACGCGCCTTTTTGTTACCTGCCTTTGTCACAAATGTTCCAGGATGAGTGTCCTGGAGTGAATGAATCCTGCAGTAGGTGGCGTCAGAGCAGAACTTTGTAAGAATATGACAATTGTATGTTTTTTATTAGCCAATGAAAATGAGAACTTTGGTGTTCCTTACAATCGGTATCTCTTGCGTTCATTTATTTGTATTTTTTTGTTTTTGTTTTAATCTATTACTTAAAAATCTGTTTCTTAGTCTATGTGTTGTCACATGAATACAGGATGTGCCAAAAGTATGTGTTCGGAAAAAAGAAGGCGGTCAAGCAGAAACAAATGTAGGCTGGAGCGAAGGAATGAATGATTTAAAGGTACATGGAACAAACAGGTGTGAAAGAAGGAAGGCAAGCACAATTTGACGTAGGACATAGACGTCAATAAAGTGTGTCTGAAGGCGGGAAGGATGGAATGAAGGAGGTCAGGAAGGCAGAGATGAAGAGTGAAGTATTCTTTTTTTACATGTATACAGGAGAGAGTAAAGGGAATCGATTTTAATTAGGCGGCTTGTTTTCTTAATCACAGCATACTGCATCCTCTTATTTGTGACAAAGAGCTGGGGGATTACAACAGGCCGCTCGGCTCTGCGCATGCCCAGTCTGTCTCAGTTTTTCCCACCTCAAAAGACGACTTCCTGTAGGTTGCTTGCAAAAATAAATTAACAAATATAAGGAGCCGGTCTACTGCTAATTTTGATTGCATTATGACTCATAAGAGTGTTGGCAAATATAAGAGGGACTTATGATTAATTGTTTTTCATTAAATAGGACAAAGCGTCGAGTTTTGTCCATCTTTTAATGGTGATGCTCGCGAAGCAAGCTAGTTCTGTGATGAAGTTTGCCACCACAGGATATGTTTGACTTTCTTAAATATTATTTCGATGATATGGTTCATTCTCACTTTCATAAAATTCATTTAAACTTCCAAAATACTTCAAGATTGTAAAATAATGTTTTATTGTTTGAAAACGCATTTCCGTTGTTACCGCGGAGTGATACATGCCGGCTTGACTCTCGCTTTTCGGCGGAGTAGGAGGAGAACGGTGCTCCGGCGGAGGAGAGCGGTGCTCCGGCGGAGGAGAGGACCAGGCAGGCAGGGAGCGAGCGAGGCGAGGAACCCCGGCCACCCCCTCCCCCGCTCCCGGAGAGAGCGAGAGTCGGACCCGCTGGACTCCCCACCATCCCCCTAACCCCCGAGAGAAAGAGAGGGAACCGGGTTGCCACGGGAGAGGCCTCGGTGCAGGTAACCGAGCGCTCGGCGTCGCGCGCCCCCGGGGGCGCAGGTGCTCGCTAGGGAGGGATAAGACGGTAGAGCAGCTCAGTAAATCTCAGGAGAACCGCGATGCTATTACTTACTGAATGCTTCATTTTGTTGTCCTTATCATAAAAACGTAAAATAGCGTAGAAAAACAAAAATATAAAAGGACCCTTTATGTATACATTGCCCTTAATATCGCGGAATATATGTAATATATATGCTAATATATATACTATGCTATTATTTCTATGCATCTTATGCCGTTCTTTGCAATCATAAAACTGAAGAAAAAAATCACTACTCATACCACACGGCGCAGGATAATTTTTAACAGATATCCACTGTTTCCAGTCTTTCGTAGGCCAAGGCACATATTGTATATTATCGAGAAAACCTCACCGCACCCCACAAAACAAAAATGTCACAAAAGTACAGCGCCTTTAAACTAGCCTTCAGTCAGTGCTGAGATTCTTACCCATTCGCTGATTTTGTGCACCATCTTGTGACATGTGCCAAGGAACTGCATTGAAGTGAGTCAAAGAGCTTCATTTTGACAAAAGTTGGGCTTTGACGCCATCTTGTGACATCACGGTGGCAAGGAACTATGCTGAAATGTGTTGGGCACCATTATGTAGACAGAAGTAGTGCTCTAGCGTCATCTTGTGGTATCATGGTGCTAAGGAACTATGTTGAGGTGAATCGAGGGGTTTCATTTAGACCAAAGTAGTGCCTTGTCGCCATCTTCTGGCATTACGGTGGCAATAGATTTGGTCAAAGTAAGTTGAGATGTTTCTTTCAGACAAAAGTAGTGTTTGGTGCCTTCGTATGACACGATAGTGCCAAGGTAAAATGCCAAAGTGAGTTGAGGATACAAAACTAGTGCATTGGTGGCATCTTTGAACAATTATAGACCAATTTTGACGTCCACATTTTGTAATGTAAATTTTTTTTTTTTTTACTTCCCAGTAACTGTTAGTCTAAGGGGGAAAAGCCATAATATTGCCAAAGAATAATATTGGACACATAACATGCAGCAGTCTTGTCATGCTCAAGCTTTCAGGCAGCAGAAAATTATGTCTTTCATATCTTGACTGTCAAGTTTATTGTTGGCCAGGTCCTGATTGTAAATGAAAAATGGTTCCCAACTTGGTTAAATAATTAAAAACAAATTATATTTTTTTCCTTTCTTCATTTTCTTCTTTGACTAAAAAGATTTGATCGTTTGCAGCCATCTTGCTCTGTGGTCTACAAGTAATGAATTAGTTATTTCACTAAGTTAATGTATTGTTGTGCACAGCTCTGAGAGAGGAGAGAGCGGGGAGGACAGAAAATACACATTAAGAGCATGCATAGACACACGAGCAGCACACAGCGAACAAGTCAACATTTATTTGGCTGCTGAGATACCAGGGATAGATGACATAAAAAGACATATATTGTAGTTTTATTGGGAGAAATAAAGCTAAAAATGTTTAGTAGTATAAGTAGAACAGACAAAAGGGTGCAAGAGAGGGCTGCACTCAGAATGTAAAAAAGTATGAAAAAAAAAGAAATAAAATATGTCATGAAAATAAAATTAATTACTTGCAGCAAAAACAAAGTGGCTGAGGAAAAAAATGACAGTGTTGCAACACTGGATTTATATATTTTTTGGTTTGGTTGTTTTGTCAGTACCCTGTTTAACACGCCAATTCTATAAATTTTGTCATTTACACATTGAGATGATCAATTTATTCATGTTAAATATCATGTTGCGATAGAAAAATCAGAATAATGCAAACAGACTTTACCCACAACTTTTTTTCCCCCCATTCAATGTTTCTTGGGAATGAGTGATACCCTGCTTCCGGCGCTGCCTCCGTTTTATATAGCCGAGGTCTCTTATTGCCATGTAATCCAATTCATTATGAAAATATCAATATTAAATGCCACCAAATTTTAATGGCTACCCCTTTGGCTTACGTTTCATTGGCTGGGTGATTTCAGTAACTATTGACCAGTTTGTTTTTGTGTCACAGGACAATGATTTTATTATTTTAATTAAAAAAAAATTTTTTTTCATTAATGATCGGTTTTACAGACTGCTGCGTCTCGTCTCTTGTTTTTTAAAGAATTGTTCGACCATTAGCCTCTTTTACACAGGGATCTGAGGAGAATCCAGTTGTAATTATGAGAAACACGTAGTAATTTTTTCTGGGGGTTCAGAGCTTCAAAAGTTCGATCTTTATTTTTGTAATTTAAGAATTTTTCTCAAACAGATGTTGATATTAGGATTTACCAAGGCAATTTACATTTGCAAAAATTCTGCAATACTGCAACATCAGCAGGGGTGGACACGACACGGCTCAATAATGTGAGGATTTGAAGGCCTCCTCTGATAATCAACCAGATCGGTTTTGACGTTGGAATGTACGGGAGATCACGAGCACGCAGGCAGTGTCAGGGCCAAGCCTGTAGTTGAGCCGGCAGCGGGAGACCGTGATGCTGCAGAGGGTGGGAGAGCTCAGCACAGTGGGAGGATGTGAAGCCTGGGAGAGTCCACCTCCTTCTCCTCCTCCTCTTCCTCCTCCCTCAGTTGTGGGGTAGATGAGGTCTGATGTGCTATAACCTGCCTTCATTCTGTGTGTGTGTGTGTGGGTGTGTGTGTGTGTGCATTACTGCTCCCTCTTCACTTCTGCGGGTTTAATCAGTCTGTCAGCGGAAGCAGACTCAATCAGTCACCACTGCGTCCCACCCCCTCTTAAACAGCAGTCACCGGTCTCTGACCAGCCAGAATGTGACGCTGCCTGTCCTGCCTGCTGTGCCCAGTCTTGATTTCAAAGTCCCTATAATCATTCTTCCCAGCAGGGAAAATTGCTGTTACATTGAGGGCTTTTTTTTGTTTGTTTGTCACGACTCCTCTCCAAAGTATCAGTCGTGAGTGTAAGACTCCTACACTAGTTGTACCGCAACATGACATTGCACCAGTTGGAGTATCTTTCAGAGATGGTTCGTCACTTCATATCAATGGAAATTAAATAGTTGTCTTTGAAGTTGTGTTATTTACAATTAATTGACCATTGATTTTGTGGATCCAATTAATAAAATGATTAGTTCCAGCAAAAAAATAAATTAAAAAAATGGTCGGACACTTGATCTCTGTGGGACACATTTGTTGACTGTCGTCTTCACAACTGCCTCATTAACAGAAAATCTACCAGATAGTTCAACTCGGCTTCTAATACATTTCACTATTCAATGTGATATGCAGACAGTCCAAAAACAAGAGCCGCAGGAGCTTTACAAATGATCTGATAAACTCCACCCGCACTTTGTCCGAGTTGCATGCGCAGCTCTTCAATTAATGTCCATCATCTGCCTCTCTGATTGCCCTACACTATTATGTCCACTGTGCTGAAACATCTGTGCTGAGGAGCACTATGTTTCCTTCCACTGACTTCCTAGATTATTGATTATAAATGGAAAGGGTCATACTTCCAGTGTGATATCACTGCATTGCAGCTGCTGTCGTTTTTTTTTTTTCTTCTAAATCACACACCGAGAGGCCGTTTTTACTAAGATGGAAATTTTGAGGTGAAAATAACTCAACTAATGCAACAAATAGGTTCTTGTAGTTCAGTCTTTTGAAAGGCAGCGGCTTTTGAAAATTTACTTTTCGCAGGTGATGCTATTGAGCGTATGGGATGGCCAAAGGACAGCATGCTCTCCCTGTGGTGGTCACGAGCCAAGGCACCGAGCCATCTGTCAGATGGAGCCTCTGACTACAATCTCAGTAATCTTGCAGGAAATACTTTATTGGCCAGTTTAGGAGTGAACCGAGGCACACACTTCTGATTTATAATCAATAAAAATCAGGCCTAATTTTTCCTCTTTTTCAAACAAAGTCAGCAAAAGTACTGTTTTCGAATGTCTCCAAAAGATTATCCTTACTGATTATTGTGTGGTGTGAGTGTGAAGGGGTCTCAAGAATTATTTTTTCTCCCCGGGGTTCAGGAGTCGCCCGTGGTAAATGCTAATTTATAAATTTTTTGGGGTCCGGCCCATTTTATAAATCAATCCAAAACAAATTCTTGATTGAGTTTATGGAAAAAAGAAATGCACGGATAGACCATTTGATAGAGTAACTCAAACTTAGCCGTTTGTCCAACAAATAAAGATTATACAGATAAAAGTATCCAATGAATCGTCCAATTGTCTAATTCGACAGATCGCAGTGTTTATGAAGCAGGCGTTTGCACGGTTGGCCAACCAGCCTCGTTAGTATCAAATCGATACGCCAACGCCAGCTCAGTCATCCAGGTAGGACATCAATATTGAAATTCATGATATTGATCAATCGCGTTTGCCGGAGACGAATTAGGTTAAATGATCGAGAGGTTTGTCCCGTGGCGCAGTTATTGATCAGGACGGCTCAATTTTAGAGGAGCCCGGCCGGCCCTGGTTCCACCTCGTGTGTGTGTGTGGGGGCTGATCAATGCGGACATGGCTGCATCTCTGTATAGCTGCGATAATTAGGCCCCTGGGGGACGTCAAGAGACAGAGTAATCATTGGAGACCCAGAAAATTCAGGTACTCGCGCACCAGGACTTTTAGTTCCCGCTGAGGCGGCTTACTGTGAAGCTGTCAGTCAAGCGAGGAAGGAGAGGGAAAAGTGGTTCCTACCAATGCGGGGAAGTAACAACGTACAGATACTTTGTGCCCATTTTTTGAAATGACCAGTCTACGTGTGCTTGTGGACTTGGAGAAGGCAATGGAGGGTGCTCTCGGAACAAGGTCGAACCGCCCACCCTTAAATGGACTGTTTGATCCTTGTGCGACCCGTGTCAGATTTTGTGAATCAGATCCACAACCCACCTGAATGAAGAAAACCATCAACATACTGGAGAAACTACTGTATATATCTGGTCTGGCTTGGAAGAGTTGGACAAAATAGAAAGGAAAGTCTGGACTTTCTGACCCCGAATAAGCGGAAGATGATGGCGGAAGTCATGTGACTCAAGTCCCTCATCTGTGCCAGCTGATGATGCTATCGTTCCTATTTTCCCTTTTGCACAGGGCTGCAGCATGTTCGCGTCGGTGAAGGCCTTCGAGGGGCAGCAGTACTCCACCCTGAAGAGGCAGTGCCTGCAGAGTGGCCTGCTCTTCGAGGACCCCCGCTTTCCCGCCACCGACGACTCGCTCTTCTACCAGGGCAACAGGATCGGACGCGTGGTGTGGAAGAGGCCGCGGGTAAGTCGCTCAAAAAAATCGCTAATGGACGCAAAACAATGTTGAGTAAGTTAAGCGAATATTGAAAATGTAGCCAATGACTCTTGTCCATCTTTTCTATTCTGCATTGTTATCCTCCACAATCTCCACTTTGATGTAGCGCTCCTCTCGGCTAAAATCTGTCACCTTACCTTGTCAATGCAGTGACCTAAGATGCCCTTAGTCTCTCCTTCAGCAAAGATTGTCTTATCCTGCATGCTCTAGCATGATACTCCACAGTCTCCACTTTACAGCCGGGATGCCCTCAGTTTCCTCATGGATAAACTTTGTAAAAGTAAGCACATGTGCCACTGTTGGCTTTTCCCGGACACTTTGGTGTTATGATATTTGACAGGATACAGCTAAAATTGGCACAAATAAGCACACGCGCTAACGTTATCTTATCCTGCGTCTTAGCTGTAGATGCTGCAGTATTATCTGCCAGTTCCTGATTACCATTAAGTCAGTAATCGTCAAAAGAAGGTCCTGTGGAAGTCAGATTTTTTTTTTTTTCTATAATGCTGACAGTGTGGTTGTGGATGGAGTAACCTCCTGCAGGCGGCGTACATTGCCATGGAAACTGGGTCACACAGATTATATGTTTTGGTCTGCGTGGATGTCAGTCATGCGGACGGAACACTGTGAGATGAGTGGAAGGAAGGGGAGAAAAAAAAGCAGGAGGAGCCTAAGCGGGCACACTGTAGCATTTTTACATGATAAAATAACACACAGTTGATTTAGACTTGGTATTTACATCCATAGATAAACATGATTCCCACTATTCATTCCTTAGATTAACTCTCGCATGAGTACATAACGACTACAGTCTAGCAAGAAGGTTAGACTAATGCACCTTTTAATAACAAAACCCGAATGATCATAATGACAAGAACAATAATGGACATTTACCACATGATTTCACTCCAGTGTGCATTTGTTCCATGGGAACCATTAAGCACGTTTCCTCGTCCTCCTCCTAATGGCCACTGAAAGCTCACCGCCACTGCGGCAGGGTGCGGGGAAAGTGCAGAATAATCAAGTTTAAGAGAAAACTACTGTAGAAACCCAGGGAGAAGCAAGGGTTACGAACAATTGGAATTGAAAGTGCATTTATTTTCTTGGGTTTCAGAATTTAGTACTTACTACAAGAGCGGTTCTGTAGTCCACGGGGGTTTTGCCGTAACACACATCATCTGGAATTTGGTGCAAAAACAAAATATATATTTTTCATGAAAGGTAAGTTTTGTGTCGGTTGAAAAGAATCATATTTTTTGCTGTAAATCTGTGAAAAAGACATTGGTCTGTTTGCACTCTGCTGTGGATGCTCCAGTATTATGCACCGCAGTCTCCACTTTGCTGCAGCATCCCGTTTGCTTGCTGCCCTCAGTCTCCTCTTGCAACCCCCTGCTAAAATGACCCCCATTGCAATGCCTTAGCTCTGGTTTCTCCAGCCTTTCTACATTTTGTTGATGTGTCCCGTTTGCTTCTGTTTTAACATTCCAGAGGGGTTTTTTTTTCTTTTTTTCAACAAAAATGCTTCAACACTCAGACTTTTCTCCACTCTTGGTCTCCTCTCGGATAACTTTGTTCTCCTGACTGTGGCCGCCTTTCTCCAACCTTGCAAAGTTCCAAATGAATCAATACTGCCCGTCTTGGTCATTTAGGCAGATGGATGTCCCATAAAGTCATCGTCCATTCCAAGCATATCATCCTTTATCTGCTTGGTGCCCTTTACAAATGTTTAATGAGGACACGACCATGCACAGCTGTTCCCGCAGGAAAAAAAATGCCACACCCGAGTGGGAATATTTCGCTAGTTTTTGGGGGTTTGGTATGTGGTGGGCACTTCTTCTCCACTGGGCTGATGGATGGCGCCAACTGCGGAGCCGCTCGACAGCTTCTCACCCGGCAGGTAAATGATTAGACGGCGCTTGGCCGCAGTGTTCGCATTACTTCACTGTCTGCGGAGGCCGCGTACCGATCGATACTCTATTACTCTTCCACCTGAGACGCACTTCGCCTCCCCCCAACCGGATGACGGGTCGCCGGCCGTGGGGAGCCCCTCGTCTTGCCTCGCCTGGCTTCCGCCGCACCAGGGCAATCAATGCTGGTGCAGACAGAAACCTTAGCTGTTCTACAAACATGTCATTGTTGGCCTGGGAGGGTTCAGCGGGGTGCGGTGGGGGTCTGAGTGTTGCCGAGTCAGCGATTGACCGACCTTGGCCGCGTCGTTTGTTTAGTTTGCTTTGCATCCAAGCACATTCACATGCTCTTTGAAGGCCGGTGTCGATATAGGGATGCCTCCATGTCACGCTTACCTTGAACCCTTCGCTCTATGCCATCCAATTTGTTTGACTTTTGATACCCCAACTTGTTCCACTTCTGGGATGTTTTACCTTAGATGTTTCAATGCAAAAATATATATTTTATAGGCTACCTTGCCCCCCGCCCCCACATCTGATTGCCCCGCACCCCACCTCCATTTTGATGTCATGAATACATGCTGTACAATCTTTTCTGCTGCAACTGCTGAGTCATCCTTGTTTTTAATGCATTCCAACAAAAAAAAACAAAAAAACGCCGCATGGAATGTTGTGGACAAAAAAAATGGAGGACATGTCTCCATGTAAATGGCAAGGTTCCGACCCCAGCCGGCACATTATACGTGTGTGTGTGTGTGTGCGTGTGTGTGTACGTGTGCGTGTGTGTGAGCGAGAGAAAAAGAGGGAGAGTGGGAAAACGCTGCAGCAGCTTATTGAACACCACGTTGTTAGCTGTAATGAAAGACGGCGTGTCCGCACAGAAGCTGAAAATGGACCCGGACACACTCTGTTAATGTGATTTCACAAATGCATTTAAAGTCTGCTACACGTCAGCATAAAACGTGGTGGTTTAGCTTGCCTTCGTTAACAACCCCCCCATCGCTCCTCCCTTTTCGTCTCAATGTACAGCGGGACCTCGAAAATGGAACGGCCAAAAAGTGGTACAATTATTTCCCTTGTATTTGCCGTTCACTATTCACGAACTGACATTTGTGGTGCTCTATCTGCAACCGCAACCTTAAGATTTCACAAGACGACTCTAAAGTCCAATCAGAAAGTAGAACAATAATCGGTTCAAGGAAGTATGCTTAAGTGATACATCTTGACCAGGAAACAAGCTTTGTATGTCGGGGAGGAGCTTAGTTTAGCCTGGGTTGTTATGGAGAGTCAAAAGTACATTAACAACAACAAAAAAAAACCTTTTTGCTCGTGTGCAGGAGCTGTGCGAGGACCCTCACCTGTTCGTGGACGGCATCAGCGCACACGACCTCCACCAGGGCCAGCTAGGGAATTGCTGGTTCGTGGCAGCCTGCTCCAGTCTGGCCTCCAGAGAGTCACTATGGCAAAAAGTAAGCGCTTGCCTTCCTTTCTTTGCAAGTGTAAAAACTTTTATTGCTCGAAGTATTTTTTTTTTTTTACACATAATTACAAAAATAACATTACAACATACCACAAAGATAAGAAGTCCCCCCCCCCCCCAATAAAATTGTCTGCCAATCTTTCGCTTTGTAGTTAAGTTATACAAATACTAAAGGTTAAAGTATTGTAAAACAATCAAATGTTCTGCCTGTAATTCATATCTTTATTGTTGTAAGCATAAAGGGACCAAAAAAGAAGTTAATTTTATTCGGAATTATTATTATGAATCGGCGGAGTCATCGGACTGATTAGAAATTTTGCTCTGCCACTAAAACATCTGATGGTTACTTTTCATCCAAACACTGGGAAGAAATCCAAATGGATGGTGTAGGGAATCATTTGTCGAGCAGATTAAACCATAAATTCTAGCCAGACCAGTTGCTTTGTTATTCATTTGGAGTTTGAAACCAGATAACAAAAAAGCAGAGTAATTCAAAGCGCTAGATTCTGTTTTTGAATACACTTCTGCTAACCCAACTCTCTTAGGAGAAGATTTTTTTCCCCTCCCCCAGTGAAACCAGGTCTTCAAAAACACCATTTTTGTTTCATAGTGTTTAGACGTTAATCACCCGCCAATATCTGCGAGTGCTTTTTTCATTTATGGCTCCTGCTTCCCACCCTCTCAGATCTTTTTAATTAGCCTCTGTGCAGTGTGTGGTAGGCTGGCGTTGTAAAGTATTAGCATGCAGCCTGCGACAAACCATCCGCCAGGCATCTTCCCGCTTAATAATAACGCACACTCATTTTGCAAATACACGGCACCATTTGTTTGGCTGCTGCTCGTAAAACGCACGCGCACACACACACACACACACACACACACACACACACACATTCCCCAGATTAAGTTCAGATGTTCTAGAAGGCTTTTCCTGTCTGTTTATTCACCAAAGACTTAAGGCAAGAGGAATTTTAGAGGACTTGTAAAGACATGTCACATTTTCAAAAGAGCTGCTCACAGAGGTTGTTTTTTTTTTAAATGTGATCTTTATCACAGTCCAAGGTCACCCTCCCATGGGATGAAAGATAGTTTTGAATTGTTTTATTCAAGCAAAGTAATTCTGGTGAAATCCACAGTGGTTAAGATAAAGCTACTCCGTGTTTCCTCCCATATTCCACTCCAAGCACTTTAGGGTGTACCCCGCCTACTGCCAAAACACAGCTGGGATCGGCTCCAGCACACCCGTGGCCCTCGTGAGGATAAGCCGAATAGAAAATGGATGGATGGATGAAATTGCACAAACAAACAAACAGATGACAATATCGAGCTTTTTTTTTCCCCCCTCACCTATAGATGAACACCTTTGTATTGTCCTGAGCAGGTATTTACATACGTACATTTTAAGTTGTAAGCTTGTAAGTGGCACCCCTGGGCTGCGTGGCTCTCTCTGCTGGTGTCCCCCGGGGGGGGTGGAGTGAGGTAGTGACACCTACACGTTGGTAGGGAGGGTGGAGGATACCCGGGGGAATGGGGTACATGAAGATAAATACACAACAATTACATCACAGGGAAATCCAGTGATAGCCTAACCCAGTGGTTCTGAAACTGTTGATACCAGGTACCACGTCAAATGTGTTCATTGAAACACGGGTGGGATTCCGAATAAGTATATTTAATGAACAAGCCACTGTAACATTATGTAAAGTTTGAACATTAAACAAATATATTTTAAAGCTACCTAAATAGTAATTCAATTCAAATGCATTGCACAAAAATGTTGAATAAAAATGGTACCTAATAAAAGCACGCAGTACTCGTGGGTAGCCTATACTACACTTTGAGAATCAGTGGTCTAACCAACCAGTCAGGAACGAAACATACACATTGAAAGGTTCCATTACTTTTGTTCCTTATAGTTACTCAATTAAAGCCACTTAGTTATTTTCAGCAGTCTCCTGAGCCTGTGAAGGTGATGGAACAGTCCACTGTCTCGGGGCTGCATCCCTCCCCGAAGGCAAACAGGAAGTACATGACCTTCCTCACCTTGGCCAGCTCGGCAATGCGCTCGCCGAACTCATGCGCGTCGGCCTCATAGCACTTGGTCTCCGCCTCGCGAGCATCGCTCGCTGCCCTCCAGAAGACCCCCGGGGGCTCCAGGAGCTGGCGGGTCATCAGGTGGGTGAGGTCTGGCGTCCACAGCTGTGACGTGGCCGTGATGGTGAGGCAGCCCGACTGGGGCAGACGCACCGTCCAATGGGAGAAGCGCAGCGACTGCTTGGTGAAGTCCAGGCGGTACACGGCCTCGTTGGGCTGCAGCAGGCGCTCGCCGTCCTGACGTTTCTGGCTGCGTTGCTGCAGGGACTGGACCCGCAGGCGCATCACCTCGGTCAGCTGAGGGTCCGGGCGGAAGGGCAGCTCCAGGGTACTCGCCATGACTGCTAAAATAGATTATCGGCTGAATAACAATCTCCACTTGAGAAAGCTCTTGTGTGTGCGGTGGATGATGAATGGGGCGCGTCTTAACTCCCAGAGATGCCTGGCAACAAGACCTAATGACATTTGGGTTTTGTTCTCAGAGGGGTGGTGCTTACCTTTGTTTGCGCACTCATTGGAATACGTGACACGTACACGAGAATCCAACCTGGATTAGTCCTTGTCAATCAGGAAAGTCACCAGGAAATGTTTAAAGAATTGATTATTCTATCGATTACTCCATCAATTAATAATACTACAAATACTAATACATAATTACTGAGTTCATTATTCAGCCGACCGAATTATTGCTAAACACTCCTCCTCCACAAAACACAAAATCATCTTACATACTCCAAAGGATAATTATTGACCACCCGTGCTAAGACTCCACACTTGGAATTGGATCTGTGAGACTGTTCAATGCTTCTGTTTTTGCGATTTTGCTGCAAATTTCATCAATAAACTCGAGGCATTTATTTGTCTCTGCCGGCCATCTAATTGCGGGACGGCCTCTATGAGAGCAAGTTTGGAGTTTTACTTAGGCTATTTGTTTCAAGAGAATAACAACAGATTAATGGAGGCTCAGTTCTAGTTACTTTACGGCGCACACAGAAAAGTTATTACCTTTCACCCTGTTTCAGCTGGATTTATGAGTGATGGCAGCGAGGCAATAAAGCCTTGACATGATTCATGATCGGCATTTGTCTGTTTGGCTCAGCGACTCCCCGCTTCCTCTTCAGGTGATTCCCGATTGGAAGGAGCAGGAGTGGGACACGGAGAAGCCCGACTCATACGGCGGCATCTTCCACTTCCGCTTCTGGCGCTTCGGCGAGTGGGTGGATGTGGTGATTGACGACCGGCTGCCCACCGTGGACAACCAGTTGGTCTACTGCCACTCTAATGACAGCAACGAATTCTGGAGCGCCCTGGTGGAGAAGGCCTACGCCAAGTTAGTTTCCTCCAGATATGCTCATTTCATCAATTAAAAGTGGAGAAAATAAACCCCTCCCTTCGATAGATGCCTCGTTTTAATTCTTCACGAAAAAAATCAGTTCCTTATGCTGTTCACACACAGACATTAAAGTGTTAACTGCTGAGCACTATTGCTAGGGTTGGTAGGGCTGGGTTTGTCTGGTGCTAAGTTAGTAGCTTTGTTTGTTTGCTCGTTACTTTATTCATTAGGTAGGTAGCTAGGTAGTTAGTTAGCGGTTTAGATCGTTAATTTGAATAGTTTGTCTGTTTGTCAGTAATTGTATTTGTTTGCTCGTCAGTTTGCTTGTTTGTCAGTAAATTCATTTGTTTGCTCATTTGTTTGTCTGTCAGTAAGCTGAAGTGTTAGCTAGTCAGCTAGTTAGTTCATTAGTTAGCGAACAACAAACAGCTTGACTTGCTCTTGTTTCAGGGTGTATGGCTGCTACGAGGCTCTGGACGGTGGCAACACGGCGGACGCGCTGGTGGACTTCACGGGTGGGGTCTCAGAGCCCGTGGACCTGCTGGAGTGTCAGATGGCCACGGACGAGGCAGCCCGCAACCAGTTGTTTGAACGAGTCCTCAAAGTGCACAACCGAGACGGCCTCATCAGCTGCTCCATTAGGGTAAACGCTCAAAGAATATTTTCTCTGCTTTTTTGTGACTTCTGAAATCTGAAAAGTTGCTCCTTTTTTTCAAAACTTTTATTCTTGTCGAATGCCAAACGTCTCAATCCTTAGCAAAAGAACTGTCATATTATTGTGCTACTGACTCAAATTTGGGTGAATCGTAAAATGATATTTTATATGCATGAGGTTTCATAACGCATCTTAATATTCTACAGCAAGTGAAAAGTGAACTGTCTAGAAATTTGCATTTTTCTCATTTCTTCTGTGCACCACATTTCCTCGAAGTGGAGTTTCAAAAATTTTTCCCAATTATATCTAGATAAATTCTTCCAGGAGATCTAAATGAAAGTATTTTGTTCTCATAAAGTTGGCCAATATCAGGATGATCAAACACACAAGAAGACTGCATAAATAAAGAAAAATTATGGGTCCAAGAAGTCATCCTTGAGGCTCCTCTCGCTACTGAAAGGAGCACCGATCACTTATTTTGGACATCCTTGGCTATGTGTTATTGTGTTTAAAAGGAGGATCTTGTTACTTCTTATTGAAGCTAACAATCACTAATTCGCAAATTTGGGTGGTTTCCCAGGCGACCACGGTGGAAGACATGGAGGCGCGGCTGGACTGCGGCCTGGTGAAAGGCCACGCTTACGCCGTGACAGATGTCCGAAAAGTGCGGTTGGGTCACGGGCTGCTGGCGTATTTCAAGTCGGAGAAGCTACACATGATTCGCATGAGAAACCCGTGGGGGGAGAAGGAGTGGAGCGGCCCGTGGAGCGACAGGTAATTAGCTGGAAATTCACCTTAATGGGAAATTTTTATGTTCTATCTATTACTGAAGAGTTTGCCAAATTGTGATGTATGACGTGCTGCCTTTGCGAGTAAAAATGCTGTTCTCATCTCTATGGATTATTGCTTTTTTCTACATTCTGGGCTGTGCTTGCGCAAGAAGCAGCCGCTTGCCTCGATTAACCCCATCTAGCCCCGCCCTGGTTGTCATAGTAATGAAAACCATACTCACCACTGCTGACTTGTGGTTCCTTTTTTGAGAGACTGCACCAACTGCTCAAAACAGATTTGGGATTCTTAAAAAAAATAGGGTGTTACTCGTGATGTAAATCTTGATCTCTGGGCTGCGCTTCCACAAGTAGACGCCGCTCGCCTAATCGCATCACCCGAGTTCCACGCCTACAATGTGTTAAAATTGTTGATCCTTGTAGTAGTTTGACAAAGATTTGTCCGTAACCTTTAGAAATTGTGAAAAAAATTGACGCTACATATCCTTTTCAAACGTTTTGTGGCAGAAGAGGAGGAGGTGCTTCAAATTTCCATCTGCGGTAAACAAAACATTGATGAATGGGCCTGCATTTGAGCCATCCATCCTTATCGTGCTGCCGTCGAGGTGGGTCTGACCAGATGCATGTCTCCGGCAGCACAAACAAGCTCCTAATCCTTTTAAACTCAACCTCGTTTGGACCTGCTCCAATTCTACCAGTTCCACTGATTCCATTTTCCAAAATGTCAACGGCACCTCGCTCCCTCAAGTTCGACTCCCCCGTTCGCGATGAATCGACATGCAACGAAAGCTGTCCGATCCATATATAACCCACACAATACCGGGAAGCAAATGCTGTACAGACCATGAAAAATGGCAAATCAATCAGGCTAATGGGTCAGAACCACACTAGACCACACACTCCAACTCAGATGCCATTTGTCCCTTCACACCACTCCCAAAACCATTTGGACAAACAGATGATTGAGCTTTGAAAGCAGTGGTAAACAACCTGTGGACAGTGGGCCATATATGGCCCTACATGCTATTCCAACAAGGGACTGTATAAAAAAAAAAGTTCTAAACAGAAATTGACACTCACCACTGTTTAAAAGGGTCATTACAAAATTTTATTCGTGAAGAAAAAAAGTCATATCATTGCCTCCCCTCTGGCAACCAGTTTTCCCTTGAGAGGAACTTCTCATTCCGGCTATTATTTTCGACGTTTCTCCTCCGCTGCCAATCTTGAGGGAAAGAAGTAATCCCCAGGATGGAAGTTGCTCCCTGAACAGTGTTCTGTCTCAGAGTTGTTAGTTACCAACCTCTCGCGAAACAAAACAGGGCGTCTGGTAAAGCAGGATAATGGAGTCTGAATAATTGAAGAGGTCTCCAGACAAGAGGCTTATTAAAGTCGGTCGGCACTCCTCCTGCTCCGTTGCGCTCTCGCGGATTAATCTATGCGTGCTTTGATGAAAAACCTGTTACTTAAGGTCTGTGAATCATCACCGTTGAGCTTCCACACAATCGCCTTTGAGACTTACCGATGGCCCTGGTAAAACTCACCCCGTCAGCGATGAAAACGTTCACAAGATGCAATGAGATGCAACTAGACGTCTTTTTTGCATTATTGTTGCAGTTCAGAGGAGTGGAACAAGGTGAGCAAGAGCGAGAGGGAGAAGCTGGGTGTCACCGTGCAGGACGACGGCGAGTTCTGGTGAGGAAAACAAACGCACATGGTACTTGTGCTGCCCATGATGAATCCTCCCAAAAATAAATCAAATAAAATCAGCATGCCACTTGTGCTACTATTTTTCTCAGTCCAAACACTGAATATATCGGACCATTTCTGCAGGATGATGAAAGGCAAGCTCAACAGTTGTGCAGTGGATATAAAAAGTCTACACACCCCCGTTCAAACGCCTAGTTTTTGAAAAATGAGAGCAAGATAAAACATTTCAAAACTTTTTACTGTGTGAAGAAAAAACACTAGCATTTGAACAGAGGTGTGTAGACTTTTTAGATTGACAGATTTGAATGTTTTCTGGGAATTGCTGTGACATGCTCTGATGTGTTAGCAAGTATAACTATTTAACCATTTTAAGTGTAATACTTATTCATGTTTGATGTGAATTTCTTGCTTTGCAAAATCTTATCAGAAATTTAATTGGAAGCAAATGTAACGGGCTCTTTTTTTTTTTAATCTCCTGCTGCACTTTTACTGGATCTCTTTGACTTCTCCTTTGTTGCTGGTTGTAGGATGACATTCGACGACTTCTGCCAGTACTTCACCGACCTGATCCTGTGCCGCCTCATCAACACGTCATACCTCAGCATCCACAAGACGTGGGAGGAGGAGGTGATGCGGGGCTCCTGGCGCCACCGCCAGGACCCCCTGCGCAACCGCTCCGGCGGCTGCATCAATCACAAGGCCACCTTCCTCCAGAACCCTCAGGTGCAGTGCAGGCGCTCTTTTACATTTCAATATCAATTTCCAACCATTTGCATCTCATTTAATTAACATGTCATGTCATTGGATCTCGTTTTAATCAGCGATCAGGAATCTGATTCAATTAATTTATTGTGTTTGTTAAAAAATTAATGGGAAGAGGAGCTAGAAAAAAAATCAGATATTAAATCTGCAACTTAATTATCAAGGAGGAAAAAAAAATCTAATTTGATGTTTTTTTTTTCATAATCGTTCAACCCTAATTAATAATCACTTTGTTACCTCCTTTCTCCTTCCAGTATGTCTTTGATGTGAAGAAGGTGGAGGATGAAGTGCTGATCTGCTTGCAGCAGAAGGAGAAGAGAGCCACACCCAAAGAAGGGAAAGGGGAGAACCTTGCCATAGGCTTCGATATCCACCAGGTCAAAAACAAATAACAGACGAAGAAAAGAGATCTTCTAAAAGCTTCTTCGGGATTTAACGGAAACGTCCTTTGATTAGTTCATAATTAAAACAAATAAATTTGACACTAAAAGACAAACACAGCATGCACTTTGGTCCCTCAGGTGGAGCTGAACCGCAAGTACCGCATGCACTCGGCCCAACAGAAGGTGGCGGGCTCCATCTACATCAACTCGCGCTGCGTCTTCCTCAGGAAGGAGCTGAAGGAGGGCCGCTACGTCATCATCCCCACCACCTTCGACCCGGGCCAGCAGGGAGACTTTCTGCTCCGCGTCTTCACCGACGTGCCTTCGGATTGCAAGTAAAGCCCACATGCTGGAGTTTCTTGAGCAAAAGCCATCCAACGACATAAAAAAAAATCTAATTAAATTATTAGAAATTCAAATCAAATCACATAAAAAATTAAAAAAATAAAATACACACACACACACACACACACACACACACACACACACACACACACACACACACACACACACACACACAGAGCATAGCTTACACACACTGAGCTTAGCTTAGAGTGACCTCTGCTGGCCGGCTGCACAATGACACACAGATTCCGGGTTGATCGCTTCAGAGAGCTGACCCTGGACGAGCCTCCTCAGACGTGCTGGACGGGCATGTGTGGCTACCCTCAGCTGGTCACCCAGGTCCACGTTCTCAACGCTGAGGGTCTGCAGGGACAGGATTCCAATGGAGGTAAACATGCGCACACACTTGGTTCAATAGATCAGGGATTCATGAAGTGTGGTAAAAAGTTCAATACAACTGCACGGAGTCATTGAGAACCATGGTCATTTTGCAGGAGAGAACTTTAAAGTTTTATGACTGCAATAACATTTCTGTCTCTGTGATTTATAAGGCCGTGAGGACATTTGTTTTGATGCTGGTGAAAGAATATAGAATCAAGTCACCCTGTATTGTTTCCAAAGCGGTGGACCCGTACGTCATCATCACCTGCGAAGGCGAGAGGGTCCGCTCGCAGGTTCACAAGGACACCCGCTGCCCCAACTTTGACATCAAGGGTCTGTTCTACCGCAAGAAGCCCAAAGAGGGAGTCCACATTGAGGTAAGGTTTTACCACTTGCGTACCATGGTTTTTTTGGTTGAGTCTGAGCCCTTTAGTGGCGAGATATCTCAATAGCTAGCAGGATAGGCTCACATAGAAGTCAATCTTCACTCAGTGCTCCTTTGCGTCAGATGGGAACAAAAAACACAAGTAGAAAACTTGAATCTTAAAAGCTAAATCAACATTAGAAGGCAGTTACTGACGGTTGACTGAAATGGTGGGAATGGCGTTTCGTTCATTTTAAACACTGTGTTCAGAAGCATCTTTTTAATTCTTTTCCATCAGGTGACGTTTTTGTTCGGGGATTTGAGATGTGAGACCCTGTATCTTTGCTCAGTGCCCCATCTCTCAAATCAGAGTGCTTCTTTCACAAAAATATCCTTGATGTTGGTCTCTGGCTGAGAGTCCGGTCATCTCACGAATAACACAAAGCACAAAATAGACGACAAGCATGGAAGCGAGCTGGGTAAGCTAATGTAGCAGTTGACATATTTATTCAGTTTGCTGTCTTTCAAATCCAAGTCCTTTTTTGAGGCAATGAACGAGAGTCCTATCAACCCGATGGGAAAGAGAAGAAAAGTCCAAAAAAGCGATGATCATATGTCACTCAAAACAGCAAAGTCTGATTGATTTCTTTATTTTCAATCAATGCTTCTGGTCAGTGTTTCTTCTTCGAGCTGCAATTTCTCTCCTCGACTTAGTCTTTCTTCTTTTCTTTCCTTCCTTTTCTATTCACTTCCCGGCTCTCTCTCGCTCTGGTTCTCCGGGCTTGGCGTCAGATCTACAACAAGAACATGATCATGGACACGTTCCTGGGTCAGGTGGTGATGTTCAGCGACCCCAACGAGCGTCAGGAGCAGCACACGCTGCACCTCCGCGACAAGGGCAGTCGCCAGGACAGCGACCTGCCCGGCACGCTCACTGTGCGCCTCATCACCTCCACCACGCTCACCAACATTTAACCGACCCTTTGCATGCTCTTTGCCCGGTTTCTCACACCATCTTTTTTCCTCTCGCAGCAGCTTTTTTCCTTCTCCATTTCTCTTGCCGTTTTTCTTTCCGACGTTTCTCAACTTTTTTGTATTTCCCCGATTTCTCACAATTGTTTTTTTGTGACTAACGAACATTTTTTTTGTCTCTTGTTTCTCTTAGCCATTTACTTTGTTCCCCCCATTTCTAACACAAATGTCTTCTTTACCCCATTTTTCCTATTGCTTTTTTCTTTCCTCGTTACTTTCAGCATTTTTTTATTTTGCTGTTGCCTGTCATTGTTTCTCTCCATTTCTCTCGCCATTTTCTCTTAACCCTTTTTCTCACCAATTTCTTCAACCTTTCAACTGACATTACAAAGGCCTTTATTTACTTAAATAATTTTTCTTCACCCTCGTTGCTTCTGTTGCGCCGGACGTTTTGCAGCTGAAAAAAAGGCCAACTTGGGGCGCTTTATCCCTCCTTTTGGTTATTTTTCTTTTTCATTCCACGTGAGATGCACATATGCAGACATTTCTGCACTCGCATGCATGTGCCAACGTTTCCAAGGGCTCGGCATTGCCTTAAGGCTGCGTTTGTCTGTCTTTCACGTGGATGGGGGCAAGGGTGGTTTGGGTTGGTTTTTCGCTGTCTGTCAGCTGTCTGTCTTGGTGTTCACGTGGCCGCTGTGTCTGTTTAGATCAGGGTTTCCCAAACCTTGGCACAGACCCCCCCCCCCCCCCCCCCCCCCCCCCCCCAACGTTTCCAAGGGCTCGGCATTGCCTTAAGGCTGCGTTTGTCTGTCTTTCACGTGGATGGGGGCAAGGGTGGTTTGGGTTGGTTTTTCGCTGTCTGTCAGCTGTCTGTCTTGGTGTTCACGTGGCCGCTGTGTCTGTTTAGATCAGGGTTTCCCAAACCTTGGCACAGACCCCCCCCCCCCTGAATCTGCACCCCCCCCTTTTTTTTTGGAAAACGTTAGCTTCTCTAATTTTTCACCGTTGAGAAGACGAGATAAAACCTCTTCAGCCTCGCACTCCTTTGGATGGCTCTTGCGCACCACACTTGGGGAACTTTGGACTCCACGACTGGTTTTGGGGTCCCCTCCCCTCTGTTTGGGAAACCGTGGTTTCTATCCACAAAGCTTCTTGTGTTCCTTCTTCAACCTGTATATGCTGACAACACATTTTGTATACGTGGTTCCTGTCCAGTCCAGTCTTTGGCGAGCATGCGTCCCTCCCTCCACAATATGGACGCAAACAAACTGCTGCAATGGTGAAACCTCGCTTTTCCCCTGTCTTCCTTCACTTTCAAACCGAGACGCTTCTCCCGCCGAACGCTATGGACGACCTTTGAACCGCATGGCCTGCCAAGACTTTTTTTTTTCACAACGTGTTTCCATCAGGTGACGTTTTTGTTCGGGGATTTGAGATGTGAGACCCTGTATCTTTGCTCAGTGCCCCATCTCTCAAATCAGAGTGCTTCTTTCACAAAAATATCCTTGATGTTGGTCTCTGGCTGAGAGTCCGGTCATCTCACGAATAACACAAAGCACAAAATAGACGACAAGCATGGAAGCGAGCTGGGTAAGCTAATGTAGCAGTTGACATATTTATTCAGTTTGCTGTCTTTCAAATCCAAGTCCTTTTTTGAGGCAATGAACGAGAGTCCTATCAACCCGATGGGAAAGAGAAGAAAAGTCCAAAAAAGCGATGATCATATGTCACTCAAAACAGCAAAGTCTGATTGATTTCTTTATTTTCAATCAATGCTTCTGGTCAGTGTTTCTTCTTCGAGCTGCAATTTCTCTCCTCGACTTAGTCTTTCTTCTTTTCTTTCCTTCCTTTTCTATTCACTTCCCGGCTCTCTCTCGCTCTGGTTCTCCGGGCTTGGCGTCAGATCTACAACAAGAACATGATCATGGACACGTTCCTGGGTCAGGTGGTGATGTTCAGCGACCCCAACGAGCGTCAGGAGCAGCACACGCTGCACCTCCGCGACAAGGGCAGTCGCCAGGACAGCGACCTGCCCGGCACGCTCACTGTGCGCCTCATCACCTCCACCACGCTCACCAACATTTAACCGACCCTTTGCATGCTCTTTGCCCGGTTTCTCACACCATCTTTTTTCCTCTCGCAGCAGCTTTTTTCCTTCTCCATTTCTCTTGCCGTTTTTCTTTCCGACGTTTCTCAACTTTTTTGTATTTCCCCGATTTCTCACAATTGTTTTTTTGTGACTAACGAACATTTTTTTTGTCTCTTGTTTCTCTTAGCCATTTACTTTGTTCCCCCCATTTCTAACACAAATGTCTTCTTTACCCCATTTTTCCTATTGCTTTTTTCTTTCCTCGTTACTTTCAGCATTTTTTTATTTTGCTGTTGCCTGTCATTGTTTCTCTCCATTTCTCTCGCCATTTTCTCTTAACCCTTTTTCTCACCAATTTCTTCAACCTTTCAACTGACATTACAAAGGCCTTTATTTACTTAAATAATTTTTCTTCACCCTCGTTGCTTCTGTTGCGCCGGACGTTTTGCAGCTGAAAAAAAGGCCAACTTGGGGCGCTTTATCCCTCCTTTTGGTTATTTTTCTTTTTCATTCCACGTGAGATGCACATATGCAGACATTTCTGCACTCGCATGCATGTGCCAACGTTTCCAAGGGCTCGGCATTGCCTTAAGGCTGCGTTTGTCTGTCTTTCACGTGGATGGGGGCAAGGGTGGTTTGGGTTGGTTTTTCGCTGTCTGTCAGCTGTCTGTCTTGGTGTTCACGTGGCCGCTGTGTCTGTTTAGATCAGGGTTTCCCAAACCTTGGCACAGACCCCCCCCCCCCTCTGCCCGACCACCCCA